ATCGGTCAGTAGTATGGCAACTGTATGCTATAGCTTTCCGATATCGGCGGTTCCAACGAATGAACAGCTTTTTGGTGAGAGCAGGACATATGCAAAATTTCAGGACGATATCTCAAAAACTAAGATGCTACTAATTCACGCATATACAGACGAACAGATAACTGATCCACTCAGCTCGTCACGCTGATCATTTTGATATATACTTCATAGGGTTTCAGACTTCTGGGTGTCACCATCATGGTGGCATGCTCAGGAGAAAAATAAACACCGATCATTGAAAAATCTGCATATTCCTAAATAAATGTCTATTTTGATAACAGGGAGGGACGCAACTAACTTCAGATATATTCTGACCGCCATAAACAACTTCACCGATTACCTCTCAGAGAATGCTGTACTTGGAGTCAAAAGTCCACCCATTGCAGACGACAAAGAGTGACCTTTCAGCAGCTTTGTTGTAGATACTATAGCAGGTTATATTCCTACTTATTCAGAATCCACTCCGACATACCAAATATATTTCCAGCATGCAATAATTCTCCGCATGATTCTAACCACTTCTTTGCATGTTCAGCACACTCCTCTCTCTATAGTCCGACCCCGTCGAAACAGAACGTTTCCTGGGACTACCGTTGGATAACTTCGCTAACAACTTATCTGAACCTTGCCACCCTAACGGGGAGTAGATAACCGTTATAACAACATCATAAGCATTAGTGCGATATTAAATACTATTGCATGAACATTTGACTGGAAAAAATATTTTTCGTCGGAGCCCACACAATTTGTCGATCGCTCAAGAAAAGGTTGGTGTGTCAATTGGTCGAAAGAAATGTTAAAAAAATATGATAGTTATGCTTCGAAGCGTGAATTTATGCGTATACCTATATGGGTGTTTCAAATTGAGCCGAATCTAATAAAGTTGTTCAAACACGAAGCATTTCCAAGTAACTGGTTGCAGAGCAGTCAATTCTGAGTGATACACATCGGTTTGTTTGCCAGTTATGTTTTAAGAAATCAGGAAAACCAACCTCCAAAGAGTGAGTTCCCACATATCGACTGACACAACTGCATTTTTGGGTACTCAAAACATCAATTTGATGAGTCATTCATCGTTCGTTCCTGCCTTATTTTTCTCGTTCGTAAAAAATAAATTAAGAGATCACAGTTTTTCGGTTTTTTTGCGTACAAAACGCATGTTTTGGAGGAACATCAATCAGAGTGGCAAAAGTGCCTCGAAAATGGGTTCAAAATCATCCAAAACTATTTAGATTTTAATGAAGAATACTTTGAAAAACAAGTAAACGATTTATGATGATAAAATTCAATTTTGTTTTCGAGTCCCGAAATATAAAGGGCAACTTACGTACTCTTAGGGTATTGTAACAGGTAAAAAAAACTTCATTTAAACGATTTTTGATCGATCATAACCTAAAAAACTTTAACTCGAAAGCAGTCAGTAGAAGCAATTGTCAAATTCTTCTTGAAATTCAGCAAATGTTTTTTGATATATGTATAACAAACGACATTTAGTCTTTTGAACGTTTGTTTTGACGTAATTTGTCAAGGTTATAGTATTTTTGAAAAACACCATTACTGGAAACGAAGGCAGCCAGAAATAATTGACTCTGTCTATTATCAAGTTCTTTCCAAACTAGACTGACATACAAGTAACTCCAGACCTTTTGTACCATGTTCATTTTTCAATAACCAATTATATAATATAAAGAAATTTTCAATGCACACACGAATATGTGGACGCCTAAAAACATGTCTGAAGAAAACGATAGAATTAAGTCATAGGTTATCTGTCTGTTTGTATCGTTAATCAAACTATTAAAAAAAAAAATTTAATTCTCAGAAAATTATTAAATTCGCTTTAAGCTAAATAAAATATTTTAAAATATGCAAAACTTTTCGATACAGGACGAATGTGTGCTCTTATTACACACAAGGTTAAGCAAATGCCTTATTAAATTCCAGTGACTTCCGAAAGAAACCATTATGTATCCGCTGATGTGTCGTCTTATTTCCTAAAGAATTTTCCTTATTTTTGCGCTGCTCAAGCAAGCAAGTTGCCGACAATGTGACCACTGACGCTAAACAATTTTTATTATGTTTTTGGCGAAGCTAATTTAATGGAAATAAATATTTGATGAGGGCGAAGAGCAATAAAAGAAGGGAATTATGAATTATTTGGGCGAAAATGTGTCAACAAATCATCCATCAAAAGTTTGTCATTTCTTCAATATTCTATTCATACGCTGTCGGCAACGTGTAGGCATAATGTAAATTCTTTTACCAACAATGTGATATAACATCATCAGAATGTTTACCAACAAAATGTAGTTTAATATACAAGTAGAATAATTTTACTAAGTGTGGTTATTAAATAAAAGCATATCACCATAAATTCGCGCAATTTCATGACTTTGTTTGGAGTTTATATACTCTACTATCTAGTGGAAAAGCTAAGCGACAATTCAGACTATTTGTAGCACTAATACTAAGTCTCAATGCGTTCGGTTAAGCAACTCGACTTTTAGTAGATAACTCGGTTAATATCAACTGGGTATCCAGTCATATTGGAATAGATGGAATTGAAAAGACAGACAACTTACACACTCGGGGGAAGTTGGGCACACGATTCCCCTTTCTATTCAACTCCTTCAAGAGTTGTTTGAAGCAATGGACCCTAGAGAAACATTTCAGTTCTTGGAAACGAGTTGCTATCAAACTTAGAGGATATGGGTTCTTAGAAGAACACGTATCTGAACACTCGTATATCCTCACACACTTTGGCTTCATACCGGATCACTTGGATCTTGGAGTCGCCCATATACCGACGAGGGGGTATTGTAGGTGGAAAGAGCCGTTGGAGCAGAGGGGAAGTGAGCTTCTTTACGGTTGGGAAAAACTTTGGTGGACGGCTGGTGGAGGGGTTTACTGTCAGGAGCTCTTTATTAACTCCACTTCCTGACTATTGTAGTGTCTTCCAAGCCGAGGTTGCAGCAATTAAGATAACAGTAGATCTACTGTTCCGGGGTCATAACGTGTCTTTGTGATAAAATTGGTACAGATGCCAGGCCACAGCGGAATCACAGGAAATGGTAAAGGTGATGAGCTAGCAAGGACACCCTAGAACCGCTCTTGAAAGAATTGGACCTTGTCGGTGCTCCTGTATCGCTGTCGCAAAAGCCTTTTGGCCCAAGATCGACCTTAAGATATCTAGCGATCTGTTGGCCTTCAGTAATGCCAGCCTCTCCCTAGTTCTTGGGCTTTTAACAGGATAAGAAAAGATGGTGTGTAGGAAGATGAAATGAAAACAACTCAAAACATCCTTCTTGATTGTCCCGCGTTTGGGATGTCAAGACACTGGCACTTTCAGACATTCCGTCGAACTTGGGGAAATGCAAATTAAAGTTTTATAAGTTCAAACACAGGAGTTCTTATTTCATATGGCTTCACAATGTACTATATGCAGCAGTCCATATGCGATATCTCTAGATCAGCCATATAATCTAACAGTCTATTTAGACTAATAATCCAAAAAGAGCAAATTTAATTTCGTTAATAATTATTAATTAATTATAATTATAATTAGACTGAGAGTTTTCAAATAAAAGAAAATGTTTGCAATATTAAAAGAGGAAATATCAACCTAGGGTTGTTCGAAAGCGCACTTAGCATAAAAGGGCTCAGCTTCTACAATGACTTCTCTGGTGAACAATATTACCATCTCACATTATCTTAAGCCATATGAAGGCAGTTGGCAATTGTGGTTGTAAGTTAAACGAAGAGTGGATATCACCTGCGGCAAGTGTGGTAAAGGCAGACGTCCTTGTAGCTATTAGCATGAGCCAGCAGCAGCTTTTATGCTAATTACACGCGCTCGCCCTAAGCACACGCATATGAATAAATAGACACACACTTGTATACACTTATGTAAATGAGAATAGTACAATGTGTTTCATATGTTGCCAAGCAGGTTTCTTGTAGCTATTTGTTTTGAAAATAAACGAAAAAACGGAAAACAAATGCAACTACACAACTGCCACAAACAAATGTGCATGAGAAGAGTTATAATAACAACAAGTCGCCATTATAATAAATGCCGCTGACAGCATCTTGTCCTTAAAGTGTTGCTTTGAAAGGAGTGAGGATGTGACGTCAACAGGAAAACAACTACACGCATGCAGAATATCTAATGTATTTGCACATGAATACATATACATATGTAAGTGCACATTTTATTGTTTTATATACATAGAGCACATAAAAACAAGAAAAAATGTTAACTTCGGTCGTACTGACGTTATAATACCCTTCACTGGTGGAATTCTTATAGAAAATAAAAAGATCTTTAACATTATTAGGGTCGATCAGTTTGCATGGCAGCTATAAGCTATAGTGGTTCGATCTAGACAATATGTTTGCAGATTGTGGTGTTGCTCTAGATAATATATTATGCCAAATTTTATGAAAAAATCTCGTCAAATAAAAAAGCTTTTCATACAAGGCCTGGTTTTGATCAGTCAGTTGGTATGACAGCTATATGCTATAGTTGTTTGATCTGAACAAAATGTTCGAATATTATGGCCTTGCCTTAGATAATATGCTATGCCAAATTTTATCAAGATACGGCACCAAATAAAAAATTTTTCCATACAAGAACTTGATCTGATTGTTCAGATTGTCTGACAGCTATATGCTGTAGTAGTTCGATATCGGCGATTCCGACAAATAAGCAGCTTCTTGAGGTGAAAATGGTTTTTGTAAAACTGTATGTCGATACCTCAAAAACTGAGGGACCGGTACACGTATATACAGATAGACTTGGCTAAATCGACTCACACGCTGAACATTTATAACATTTGTATGTCCTTATATACGTATAATTAAAAAAAAAAACTTCCTGGCAAATTTAAAATACCCTATATTTTATCAGGGTATAAAATATATATATACATATATGTAAGTGAACAGAAAAACGTACATACCAAAGTGTTTCCGCTGGCATCAGCATGTATTTCCTCCCACACAAGCACCTATACACCGCACGCTGCTGCTCGTGTGTCTTGCATAAATCTCGCATAGGTTGTCTGGCACCGTGGCCATGGCACCATACTGAAATGTCCTTAAAAGTTTTGCACGCCAAATGCTCTGCTTTCTTCACATGCATGCATGCGAGTGTGTGCGTAGCGAGCGTTTTTCCACGAAGGAAGTGCGAGCTGACGCTGTTGCTGATTGTGGCGTTGTGGCAGCAGTAATATATGTCAGTAACATTTTTTTCTCGCCTTCTTCGTCGTTATTGTTTTGAAAAATTGCGTTTGCATTACGTGAGTCGGCATTCACCGTTATACGATCGCATTTTATGCGTTAATCATCTGTCACACCGTCTCCTCTACTGCCCTGGCGTTGTTAGACTGAGTTGTTGGCGTGCTGATATGGTGTTGTGTTGAAAAGTTTTTGATGTCATGTCGCGGTTTTGAGGGTTTAAACTCATAATGCTTGTTTCGTTCGTCTTTTTTGTATAAAAAATCTGCAATTGGACAGAAAAAGTTGTAATGTGTTGAAAAAGATTAATTTTGTGATACGTTTTTTTATATGTCGCTGCTTTAACATTTTCTTCTTAGCAGCTGACAAAGATTGCTTTTATAATTTTGGATTTTTTGATTTCTGTGCCTGATTATATCCAGAAATAAATTAGATTGGATTATGAAAAATGACCGAGGAATAAAATGACCAATAGTTTCAAGCCTGAAAGTCAAAATGAAGGAGGTACAGCTTTCCGCTCAAACTTTCTTTTAAATTCATATCTAACCGTAGAGCAAAGCAAGTAGAGGTAACAATCACTAGTAGATCAATGAACCAATCGTTCATGCATCTAATGGAAAAGTAGCAATCTCATCTTTAAACTGAAACGCACATTAGTCCAACTTGAATGCTTAAAACTTCTTTCAACATCAACACAGTATTTAAGTATCGCTGCACAAAAACAGGATGAATTTTTATGTCTTCCATTGGTCGTTTAGTGGAGTCGATATGATTTAAGGAATACCTAGAAATCCTCACCAAGCTATTTCTGTTTAGATGTTTTTGCAGAAATCTAGTTTGAAGAGCTCTCGCCTCCAAGGAGCGTCAAAAGCAGCCTTTCCCATGACAGTCGGGTCTACGCAACCGGAATGGACGTGGATTTTTTATCTGGCCAAAGATTGTTAATTTAACAACAACAGCATCAAGGGGTCTTTTCTATACTTCGTCAATGACCGTTGAATATTTTACCGACCAGACTACAGTTGTAACTGACTTCATACAAGCACTGAGTGACATTTACAATGGAGCTCCAGTGAACCCTGACTCGCTCCAGTGAATGCCGTTCTCGAAGTTCAACCACGACCAGTTGCAGAAGAAGAGTTGGACTTGCTACCCTTATCTAGAGAGACCCACGCGCAACTTCTTTTCGGGTATTGCAGCAGGCTATAATCTTAATTATGAAGAACCGATACCGACTAAAAAAGTTTTGAGTGCCGCATGGAACCAACTCTACTAACACTCCTTTCTGTATGGTACGACCCTTCGTTTCCTGAATCTCCTTTACCGTTAGATGATTTTAAAGAAAATGAACTTACGCCTTGTCACCCAAACAGTTTCTAGATGACGGTTACAATGATTTAGATTTGAAAACAAAATATAATATATTAGGTGCTAAATGTGGATGGAAAATTATACACTTTTGTAAAATTAGACCAGAATTTGTCTGCCTATAATATGCCAGTGAAAAATATGTAAGTGAAAAATCTATGACCTGATGGTGCCGGAAATCGTCCAATGTACCAAGCGTGCTACAAAAAAATACGGGAATTTTCGTTTTTGAAAAAAAAAAAATTATATGCATTTCTCTAAAAAAATGTTGTACGCCTATTACGCACTTATGTCAGCGCTTCTTCCAATCGTCGAAACACTTCTCAAAATCGAATTTTTTATAGCTTTTAGGACAATGCGCTTTAAATGCCATCAAAGCTTGTAAAACAACGGAAATATAAAAAATTTGCACGTACCCAAGTCTGTTGAATATGGACGCTGGCTCATCGTTACAGTATTGTTTATGGCCCAGAATTTACGAACAAGTAACGAGGTGTGAGTGTTTAACAACAACCTAAGCTCATACAAATATTTTTATTTTTATTTTTTTTTATTTTATTTATTTTATAAAAGTTTACATAACAATGAAATTATTACATAAACTAAAGATAACGCAGCGCTAGCGTCGGAGGCTTTCGGCTGGCATGTTGACTAGGGCGGTATCAAATGCGTCGGAGTAGGTCGGTATCTCTAAGGAAATTGTATATCCTGCTAATATTATTATCCATCGGGTTTTTTAACAGATGTGTAGGGTTAATACCATT